GTATAGGGTCAAACAACTTCTCAACAACGAAAGGAGACTGCGACCACACAAAAGGCCACACCATCTTGGTCTTCATACCTTTGATGTCTTTCGTTTTGCCATCATGTGGGCGGCAGTCGGGCTGCTGGCTCCAACAGCGAAATGGGCAAAAGGTGACATGCAATGCCCAGCATCCGTCCGAAATGAAGAGAGGTTGTAGTTCTAACAACTCACCAAACCTGCCTAATGGATGGACTTCCGGCCCAACTGATAGGCCTGACACGGCAAAGCTGGTCAGGCGATCGCAAGTCTCAATACCAACTGGGTATGCATGAAAAAAGATGTTTCGAAGATGCTCATAGTGATTGAGAGTTGGTCAATGACAATTGATGAATTGGCCTAATCAGAAGCTAAAGAAGGATTTGACAACAAAATCTTGATTTTTAAGTGTTAAGCTTACATCCATTTGGAGTGAAAGTGTTTGTTGAAGAGATTCAAAGGTAGAATTCACAAGAAAACGACGACGGACCAGCTGTCGAGAAGGCATCGGTTCTGGAACACCCTTGTTGACGCTGTTTCCGAGGCAATCTCTTTTGATTCAGGTTTGTAGAAAAATTGCAGTTACAAGAATCTAGTAATATATTGATATTGGAATACCTTTAATTTCGATTGAAGAGGCGAGTAGACGGGATTCTTACATTGGTTCCACAGGCTGTGGGAGGTAGGTTGCCTTGGAGATGTGGTTGTTTGACGATAATTCATCAAAACCACGATGGCAAGAAAGGGGAATCCCAGCTCCAAGGTAACCAATCGCCCACAGCCTCCGGTGAAACCAACTTATGGATCCCTTCCACTCGACTCTTCAAACGAAATGAAAGGAACCAAGATTGTGTTCCTCGTATGACGGACATCCTTACAAGCATAATCCACCTAACGAGTTAGGAAAACTCCCTAAATTGTGTTTATATACTCTTAAGCTCTTTGAGGACCCGGTAGACTCGAGATCTATCCACGAAGAGACATTTTCGAAGGAAAAGAGAGGGTATGACATCAACCAATATTTTTTGTCTTGGTTCTAATCACGGACACTTTTCTGTACATTTTGGTCCATTCTTTCTCTCTCACTTGAAGACAAAAACGCTCATCAGCACAACCATTCGTGAGTCGCACTTTGCACAGAGTAATGCCCAAAAGATATATTTATAGAAGGGGTGATGGTGGCTCTCAAACCATGATGACTGGAAACACCCTAGTGGCCGAGGACAGACGATTCTTTTTCTGTTCTAATTACTTTTTTCGTACATGAACGAATACATGAAAGCGTATACACGCACACAAACAGACACATTCACATGCTCCGAGGTTGACATATGATTGGAACCAACCAAATCACCGTACACTTCATCAGAGAGCTCAGATATAAAGTATATATACAGCATTTGATGGATGACCCGTTACCATGAATATGGCTGCAAAGGTGATTGTCTGCTCTGATGACAACTGATGATGGACGAAAGCTTGGTATGTTTCTGCCCCAGAAACAGAGACTGTAAGAATCTTCCGGTAAAGCCAATCGACAGTTGGTCAAGAAGAACCCGCCGTCGTCTTCTGGTGAGATCAATCCTAGAATATCTTCACCGAACACTTTTACCCAAAGTGGAAGTAAGCTCTATGAAGGAGGAATGTCTTGGCTAAAAGGTTGCCATCATAATCCAACAGTGTTTACATAAATTCAAGGCAATCCTCTTCGGTTCCCTGAAAGCATCGTCACTCGACCCCGATGTATCCGTGCTGAGCTCTCGTCCGTCATGTGACGGACCTCTTTAGATCACTATGCCGCTATGCTCTACGATAATTTGCTAGACACAAGTAGGACTGTACCTCGAGGATTTTTTCGCACAGATTAACATTCTCTTCTGCAAGACAATCATTCTGTGGCTGCAGGTGAAAAAACTCTACAAAGTCCCTCAAACAAAATGAAAGGTGTCTCAACTCTATTAAGGGATTCTTTTAAAACCAGTTTTTCTTCGAATCCTTCGAGATGAATTCCAATTCACACTAACTCACTAAGGGTTCATATGAAAGCTTGCTTTTCATACGATATGGTTAATATAGGTTTTCTTATTCGAACTGGACCGGGTAGAAGTTTTTATTTCGCAAGGTTCTCATCTGTAGCCTCAAAGTGATCGAAACTACATCTTGCCACAGGTCCCAATGGATGACAAGGGAGATTTGAGTTTCAAGGTAATCCAGACGTCTCCAATGTTTCACCCATACTGGGCTGTTCATGAAGCAAACTTGTACCTATCATTACAATCAACAACACTTTATGCATTCATTGTAAGTATAATTCCGAATTGTCACTAATTATGTAATAATAACATGACCAGATGGTCTCACGTGACCTCGTTAAGATCGCAAAATGTGTTATATCAAGAGAATACAACTGCAACTCATCACTTCTCCTCTTGGTTTAGTATATTTTTATGATTTTTCCTAGAGTATGCTTCTCCCACTGACGATGTTCGTCACAACTGATGAATTTTCGTATTAGAGTAGAGTTTCGAAACTACCAGTAAATCAGTAATATGAGATGTATTTACCCTATTTCGTCTAAGGTGATGAAGGACTGGTAGGAGAATTTTCCCACAATCATATGAGGAGAGTTGACATTTACATGGAATTTCACAGAGCCTTGCAATCCTAAAAGTTGTTCTTATCCAGGCACCAGTGGACTGCAATTTTGGCCTCGCATCGGTCTTATCAACCCTGGATGAAAAAAACTTTTGGGAAAGCAAGGCTATGTAAAATTCAA